TATTATATTATATTATATTATATTATATTATATTATATTATATTATATTATATTATATTATAATACATTAGATTATATGTTCAAAGTATTTAATATACTATGGTGTAATATAATATAATGCAAATTAATATAATAAACAAATAAATAAATAAATAAATAAAAATATATAAATAAATAAATATATATATACTTTTAAATATAGACATATTTATATGCCTCAGATTATACTGAAAATACAAATGCAAGAAACATACGTCTGTAGGCGCATTTGCTGCTGCTGCTGCTGCTGCTGCTGCTGCTTCTGCTGCTGTTGCTGTTGCTGCTGCTGCTGCAGTGACTCACCAGAGCAAACTGCTGCTGCTGCTGCAGCATGCGCCCTTCTAGACGAGCAATTTGCTGCTGCGCTGCTTGAAGCTGCTGCTGCATACCCGCCTGAGACAAAAACCCTAAACCCTAAACCCTAAACACTAAACCCTAAACACTAAACACTAAACCGTAAACCCCAATGATATTCTTCTGCCTAGCGAGGCATGAAACAGTTTATAAAAGACAACAGCTGCTTCTAGCTGAGGCTATACCCCGGCTCAACTGTGGGGTGAACATACACAAGACAGCTAGCAGCAGCAGCTGCTGCTGTTGCTGCTGTTGCTGCTGCTGCTGCTGTTGCTGTTGCTGCTGTTGCTGCTGCTGCTGACCCCTGCGATTTGCTTCAAAACGACCTGTTCCTTCTCCGCAACAGCAGCCTCAAGCTGCTGATGAAAGTGTTGCTGCAGCTCCTGCTGCTGCAGCTGCTGCTGCTGCAGCTGCTGCTGCAGCTGGCGGACAGTAATAGATTGATCTCGCGCTCTCCCGATTTCCTCTTCAAGTTGCTGCGCACGTGCAGAGACACCTCAAACCAAACAGCAGCTGCCTATACACCTCAGTAGCTGCCTATACACCTCAGCAGCTGCCTATACACCTCAGCAGCTGCCTATACACCTCAAATGCCTCCCCACACCCCGGAAGAGCTTTTGCTTTGAACTCCTCAGAGGAGACACCTGCAAATTTCGTGTCTCCTTGTCTCTAGACAAACCCTAAACCCTAAACCCTAAACCCTAATCGCTATTCTCTAAACCCTAAACCCTGGAATGAATAGAGAAGAGGCACATGGTTGCATTATTTATTTTGCTGTCTGCTAAGACTTCAGAGAAGAGATAAGCAGCGCGTTTGAGGTGTATGTACACCTCAGCTAGCACACACGTTGCATTCGCTCTCGAGATGACGGTTTTTTGCCTCAAGTTCTGCTGCTGATGCTTGCTGCAGCTTCAGCTGTCGCTCCAGCTCAGCAGCAGCAGCAGCAGCAGCAGCAGCAGAATCCGAACCGGAAGAAGACCTGCGTGCTGCAGCAGCCTCCAGGTCTCGCAGAATCACCATCAAGTCTGCGCACACCCCTAAACCCTAAACCCTAAACCCTAAACCCTAAACCCTAAACCCTAAACCCTAAAGCCTTGCCATAAAGCAATCCGCTGTGTACATAGCTGCTAGTAAGATGATCAGTAGGGGTTAAAGCTCAGGGTTTGGAGTAAGGGTCTAGGGTTTAGGGTTTAGGGTTTAGGGTTGAGAACTAAAGCTTGGTTTAGGGTTTAGGTTTTGGTGCTAGGGTTTAGGGTTTAGGGTTTAGGGTTTGGTGCTAGGGTTTAGGCTTTAGGGTTTGATGCTAGGGTTTAGGCTTTAGGGTTTGATGCCAGGGTTTAGGGTTTAGGGTTTAGGGTTTAGGGTTTAGAGAGACCCGGTTGCTGGAGAAGGAGATGCAGCAACGCATTAAAGTTTCCCTCAGCGGTCTTTGCTCTTCTCGTGAGGGCATCGATTTCTTGTTGGTAGTTTTTTAAAAGTTTGTCTGTTGCTGTTTTTAATGTCTCCACTCTTAATCCTTCATTCACTTGCTGCTGCTGCTGCTGTTGCTGCTGTTGCTGCTGTTGCTGCTGTTGCTGCTGTTGCTGCTGTTGCTGCATCTGCTGCTGCTGGTGGTCGACGTGCTGGTGTTGCTTGCGCTCTTGTTCCTCATGTTGCTGCTGTTCCTGCTGCTGCTGCTGCTGCTGCTGCTGCTGCTTTGAGGTGTCTGTACAGCTGGAGGAGACAGCTGTGGGGTTTGCGAGGCCCGCAGGAGACAGCAGGAAACTCCATAGGCGGCGGTTTTCTATTAAATAATAATAAATAAAAAACATAAAAAGAGAAAATAAACAAATTAACAAAAAACGAAGTAGACAGAGAGAGAGAGAGAGAGAGAGAGAGAGAGAGAGAGAGAGAGAGAGAGAGAGAGAGAGAG